AAATCATTGCAGTTAATTCTTTAGTTTTTACCATTTTTTTTAGATTTTCAGAGAAGAAAAATTTATTAAAAAAAAAAATAAATTGTTATTCTTTTTATTTTTATAATATAAATAAACACTTAAGTATCATGTAAACACAATTTATTATTGTGATCATATGACTTTACTATCATTAATTCACGTTATGGAGGGTGTGCAGATACTTTAGTCCACTCTCTGTAGTTCAGATCTTATATTTTCAACCTTTAATCTTAGAAAATTCTTAAACAATTTAATAGTTCTATTTAAGCATGAAAGCTTATTATTATGAATATAGTAAGAATAGCTAATAATGAATAGCATAGGATAAATAACAACTTAAAAACTCTTATTATAGAAAATTACATCTCAATTGAATGTAAAAACTTTAAATCCTAAGATTTTAATTATTATACAGATTTATAATTTAAGTAATCATAATTCTCTAATTCGAATAGAATTGGATAATAAATATATTATATATTTAGATGTATTCTTCTAATATAAAGGTAATTTTATATATTTTGATTAATTAAAAAAGATTCTTGATCATTCTGATACACCTGAATATATTTTGTTATATTTGCTTAATCTTAATCTTTCAGGATAAAAGTCATATAAGATTTCTTTAAGTTATAGACCATAATTTTGATAAAGAGATAAATAATAAAAAACTTAGCTAGCAGACTCTAATATTACTCAAACTTTTAACAGATTAACTAAAAAAAGATAAGGGTTATTAGTATTTTCAGAAAAGGTATAGTTTTAGCAAAAAGCAGGTATTTATATTAATTACTTTCAGAGAACTAATTAAAGTAAAGTTAAGTAAATTTTCAAAAAGTAGTGTTAAGAATAAAAAAAGTAAATCTATATTAAGTATCTAACATTATCCTAGAAAGAGAGACTGTTGAAAAGACAGTTTAATGAATTGTCTAGGATAATCTTAGTAAAAATGATATAAAAGTTATAATAAGGGTCTTAGTCAAAATAGTTTCTAATCCTATTACTTTTAAATTCCATTTTACATAAATTAGAGGCTATGTTTACTGTTATATTATATAGTGCAAAGAATTTATCAGAGGCTATAATTATTGTTGGATAAGTATTAAATACATTTCTAACTATATATGCTTATCTAAATTATTTTTATTATGATTAAACTTTCATTAAATTTTAAATGACTAAATTACTTTATAATATATAAATTATAAATTTTTATTTATTTATCTTTATTAAAGAATATATTATTATTTAATATTTATTAAATTTAACTTAAATCTTTTATTATTTATATTAATTAAATATATAATCAAAAAATATTACTAATTACTATTATAAATAGAATTATTTATATGAAAAATTTGTAGGGAAAATCAGACTCTGAGAATTTTTTTGACTAAAATTAAGATTATATTACATTTAATCTAATAATATCAAAAACTAAAATTCAATAAAATCAAAATTTTGTTAAAAAATTTTTCAGAATTCAATTTTTCTATTAAACTTCTTATATAGTAAACTAAATATAATAAATAATATTTTATTTACAACAATTCTATATTTTTAGAATTTATAGTAAAATAAAATTTTATTAAAAATATGAGTTAAAATATATAAAAAATCTATGAAATATCCATGAAAAATCCATAGAAATAAAGTTTCAGTATTTCAACATTTTAATTATTAAAAACTAAATAGTTTTAGTTTCATCATATAACTAAATATTTTAATTTCGCCTAGCATTATTAGTCCTAACAATCATATACAGTGTGTAAAATTCACGTGTATAATGTGTATATATGCATATTAAATTTTTTTGTATACATATTACACAGTATAAAATGTGTACAAATAATTACTAAAATAGATAAATTATATATAAAAATGGATAACTTATTTATAAAAATAAAAATACTATATAATACATGTATTAATTTTCTATTTTTAATATAAATTGTGCACATAACTTTTGGTCTACCGTATTTCTCTGAAAATAAGTAATATATTTTTGCTATATTGTTGCTTATTTTCAGGTATATTTGATTAACTTACGATGTACAATCTAAAATCTGCTAATTTGTCAATAAATCTTGTGATTGTTGATTACGTTAATCATCAAATGTCACATAAAATTGTAAAAAAATTTTTTTATTCAGCTAAAATGTCACATTCTATAAAAAAAGAATTGTTAAACGAAAGGTTATAAAAGTTAATAAATGTACATGAACTTCGTATTCTATCAAATAAAAAATATAAGTCATTATCTATGCAAAAGAACATAGTTATATTAAAGTGATAAAGCACTTTGATATCAATTGTAGCATGATAGGACGTTGGGTAGCTGCTAATTCAAACTGGACAATTGAAATAAAGGAAAAAGTAAGAGACTTGGCTCTGAATAAGAAGCCTTTTATTCTGAAGTTGAGAAGAGGCTTTATAAATAGATTATAGAACAAAGAAAGTAAGGTCTCGCAGTTACCTATGCAATAATATGAAGTAAAATGCTAGAAATTTTAAAAGAATTAAATATGGAGGTTCTTTATGGTAAGTCAAATTTTAAAACATCTTATCGCTGATTAACTGCTTTTATGAAAAGATATAAGTTAGCATTGCGAAAAAAAATTAGAATATCTCAGAAGCTTCCTAATCAAACTAAAGAGCAATTAGAAAAGTTTTACCAATTTGTTACTAACCTAAGAATTGAAAAGTCATTTGAATTAAGGAATATTTATAATATGAATGAAACACCTATTTGGTTTGATATAGCTGGTAATTTTACCATCAATCCAAAAGGTGAAAAAACAGTCTATATTCATATAACAGGCAATGAAAAAAATAGATTTACAGTTGTACTTACATGTGCTGCAGGTAAACTTTTCTTTTTTTTATAAAATCAAAATTTACTCATTAGTACTATTGATTCATTATTATAGATGGAACTAAACTTCCTCTAATATGTATTTTTAAAGGAAAAAGAATACCATGCAAAGAACAAATTTCTTCTAAATTTTATACACTGATCATGCTTCTCCTGCGAAAAATTATATAATAGTCAATTTAAGAAAGCTATATTATCAGGTAAAGGTATTCAAACTCTTCAATAAAAACTAATCATATAAGTGAACTAAATATCATTTATTAAATTTTATTTTTTCGTTTGAAGCAAAATATATCAATATAAAATATTAAAAATGATAACCTATCAAAAGCATTCATCTGATAGTATACAATCCCAAAGGGATCAATTTATCAAAAATGCAAAGAAATTAGCTCAAATATTTAGATTAAATGAGCAGAATGCAGAAGTGTATAGTGCTCTTTTTGGAGAGATTAGGGCACTAGAGAAAAAATGGAAAGATTATTATTTCCAGCATAAAGAGCTTAAAAAGAAAGTTAATCAACTAGGAAAAAGCATAGGTTGGTTAGGAGATAATGTAGATGAACTGCATAATTTCTATAGTGACTTAATAGATAATACAATTTCAGTAGGCAAGAGGTCATATAAACAGTTAAAATCTTTACTCGAGAAGAAATGACCATCTGGATAATAGTTGAATCAGAGTCTGAATCATCCGATTTTGATATTGATAAAATAGTAAACATGATTAAGCATCAAAGGATTCGGAAAAAGATTTAAAAGAAAAAACGCATATAATAAGAATAAGGGTAATTAACTTTTCGATTATCCATTCAGAGTGGTGAAAAGAGGTTTATTTTTTTATTTGAAGTGTTATCAAACATTACTATCTCACAAACACAAAGCTAATGTGAATACAATATGGATAATGTATAGGGATTATAACAGATGCAGAAAATGGTAATTCATGGAATATATACTAGAAAATGAAGGGGAACTGTCATTCAAGTTGTCGAAACTTTTATTTGTTATGTATGAAGATGAAGATATGAAAGACAAGGCGGAGAAGGTCCTTGGTCATATTATATAGTTATTGGAGGAGACACAGAAACCGTGGAAATTTCTAGTTCACAGGCAAGTTAAATTAGTATTGAGTTAATAGTTGCGTTTCAAAAAATATTATATGAATTTATTTTTTGCAAAATATTTGGTATAGTGTATTTCTACATATGTGAAATGTGCTTTGTGATTTTATTGTACTGAATACAATATTAAAAATAAATTAGAATGTTTTTACTAAAAAAAATCTTTCATTATTTATTTTCTGATATAACAGTTACAATGTTAACCAAACTTTATTTAATGTAAGCATCATGCTTTGCAATACTGCATATTATGCTTAAGAATACGTATTACTGTTTATTATATTAAGAAAAAAAATTCACACATTTTCTTTTTGTTACATGATGAAGATACTATGTTTCTATCCTAAGCTTACTTTTTTTTCTCTGTCAACATTTTCTCCTCAACTAACTTTTTTTTCTTTGCTAACTTTTTTCCTTGTTTTTTTCTGCCAAATTTTCCTTTTCCAACTTTTTCTTTGCTATTATTTCTTCTACACAATGATTAAGTTTCACTTCATGTATCAGCTTACTGGTGTCTTTCATAATGTAACATATTTTTTCTGGGTGGTAAAGGTAGTTCGCAAGACCTTTCAACTTATTAATTCCTAAGATTTGCATATCATATGCTAAATCACACTATGCAAATAGAATACCATGTTCATCTAAAAACAGAAGAGACATTCCAGAACAATTAACAAATAGTAGGAAAATTTTAGTGATACCATATTTTTTATTAATGTATTCCTTATTTTCTTGATCAATTAGCTATTTATCTGTTTGTCCATGAAATTCACAAAGCTTGTGATCATTCTTTAATATTTCAACCAATTCTAAATAGCTTTGTAATTTTCGCATGGTTCTATTATTTCCTTTTTGTGTATTGTTATTGTTCAAACTCTGGTCTCCACTGGTATAAAAAAGTTTAAGCATTCATTTCTGAGCAATTCCTAAACTTCCAAGGTTCCAGTTTTGGAATCACATTTTCAAATTGATTTTGAGAAAGAAGGTAATTATCATTCACTTGTCGAATTGCACATAATTTTTGCCCGTCTTTCCAGTTGAGAGATGTAATTGATGTACCAAATACAAGGTTAATAATCTCTTCCTGGATTGATTTCCAGGAGCACTTTCAGATCTAGGGTAAAATTACTTAAGAGTTTTTTTTCCTGTCTCTCATAAATAGCTAAAAATTACCTCGTCTAGCATCCATTCCATTCTTAGTGAAGAAATCCATTGGTTTGACATAAAAATTTAGATTATTGAAATAGAACTAGTAAAGTGTTATCCATTCATTATTACATATTAATAAATATCAATAAAAATTTATGAATATAATGAGAAGTAATGCGATGATGATTTATGAGTTAGGAACTGTATTCTGTGAATGGTTATACAATTGATCATATTTGACTTAAAAAATAAATTAATAGAGCACAGTAACGCTCTGTTACCGGCCACCCAAAGTCGTCATTCTATTTTCTCTGAGCATTATCTTGTAGAAAGAAACTGACCTATCGTAGTTTAAAAAAAGTGTAGATGAAAAATTATTGAAGTCTCAGACAAGACACTTTGCAACTAAGATATAAATGAATATATTTTTTCAGTTGTGATTGTTGCAAAGAAGCGATTCAGAGCTTGCAAAGCTACTGTAATATCTATTTTTTTAGAAATTTTGAGGACCTATTAAGCGGAGAACATAAACTTTTGGTGAGTTTACTAAGGTCAGTACTGTTAACCTATTTCTGACTCTGCATATTCTATGCATAACTGACGATCAATTTATTTTATTCAGAATATCGATGTTGAGAATTAGAGTTAATATTGAAATGTGTTAGTATATAGATAGCTTATATGAATGAAAAATTGGCAGATATTAGTATTGTAGAGTTATTGAGGGAAGGGTGGATGTTGAGAAGAAGCTGGTAATGAAAAAGCAACAGGTTCAAGGATTTTTGAAAAGAAATATCATGTATATTAGCATTCGTATGTATCTTGAACTATATTCAGCTGTATTTATCTTTGCGTTGTATGACGCTACTATTGTATTAATAAAACCTGTCTTCTCACACAAAAGTTCCAGTTGTGTCAATTTAATTTTATACTTAAAATTAATCACCTTTAAGTTAATATAAAAATGCTACAACGCTGTTAATATATGGGCCGATTTGGCTCTATTCATCATTTTTATATCATATATGTGACAGCATGTGATAATGGAAGAATAAATTATGATTGGTTGATTATCTGATTAAAATATAATTATTGATCATCATAAACTAACCAAACTTAATCATAACAATGAACGCGACTCACAAATATTTACTTTGCCAACAAAATTTTTCTTCTAGAAATAAACTGTTAATACATAAGAGAAATAAATACCGAAATAACAAATAATACCACACTGCACTTCAATTTTTTTGCCTTCTTTTAAACCTCTTGTTTATTATTAAGATGCTTTTATAGTTCTTATTAAAAATCAGCTTAGTTTTAACAGACATTCTATTGGTTCTAAATGACTTTCGATCAGTGCATTTCCAGAAACTATTTTTATTCATTTATTTGAAAGTGAACTTACTTTTCGATATAGTCCAACATAATGAAAGTATTATTATCAATTTCAAGAAAAGGTAGCACCATCATAGTAGAAGGCTGAGGCAGTTCCAGTGTGATTAGTTTAGTCAGAAATAGTTGAGGTATGATTATGTATATTGGAATTTTCGGCAAAATCCTAAAACAAGAACTACAGATTATGTTTTATTTATTAATTATAAGAGAATATATAAAGTTAATTTTAGTTGGTATATAAGCATTTTTTTAAAGTATCTATATGCTAATTAATTATTACAAAAAAAAATTAATATGAATTTTTGATTAGAACACTATTTGAATTAAATGAAAATAAACGAAATTTTCAGTATAGCATTGCAATTTGTACATTTATTACAGATTCTAGAGAATTTATTGATGAATATATATTATTTTAATAAATAAATTATTTATTAATATTAAGTAAGATTTTTATTAATTTCCTTTTTTTTAAATTCATTTTTAGAAATAAATCTAAAACAAATAAACTCTCAAATACAAATTGAGCTTATATGCTCAAAATTATAGATTTATATTACCTCATATACCACTTCAACAATTACATATCAATAATGTACTGATTATCAATAAAAAATTATAGATTTTTTATTAATAAAAAAAAATTTTTGAATTTAATTTTAATTTTCTTTATTATTGGCATCAATATTTCTACCAGCAATTTTTTTTAGGAGTATTATTAATTAAGTAATATAATTGGCAATTTTCAAAAGACATTATATTATATACTACTGATTTTCCATCAGTTCCTCCACCTATAGTAGTACCCCCAAAAAATAAATGAACCTAATAATAAAAATATATTAATAATAAAAAATATAAATAAAAAATAGCAAATTTAACAATATAATGTTTTTAATACCTGATTATGATTTTTTTTCTATATTTGAGGTAGAAAAAATTTGTAAAGAAAGGCCCTTTGCTTTTAATTGCCATAAAAATTGAGGTATATGCTTTGCAAAAACATGTATATATAGAATTATGTCTTCTTTTTGATATAAATCAGGAATTTGAATAGAGCTATTAATGTGACCTTGAGTTAGACAACAAAATATATGGATCTGATTTTGAGCATCAATTTCAAATTGATCAATTTCTTGATCTAAAAGATGTGCATTACGTAAAATCATATATAAATGATAAAACTCTTACCATAATTTTTCAATATCCTCTTCATGAATATCTGAAATAAAATGTGATACTGGAAATTTCTCCAATATTTTTTTTTTTTATCTAGACCCATTAAAGAAGTCCAGTTCCATTATTTTCCAAATGATTTGGATTGAAAAAAATCAAAATGAACTTTAATATTTTTAAATGCTAATTCTATTTCCAGTTTTATTTGTTTTTAAAATTCTTTTTTTTACTAAATTAGCAAATAAACACTTTATTGAAACATCTGATATACGTAAAAGCAGATGCAACTCATCTGATATAAATTTTCTTGATTAATTACTGAGAATACAAATGGTTTTTTTCGCCTAATAATTAATATTATATATTATATTAAAAAAAAAATTAATTTAATATAATATATTAACTTACATTTTGTATTACTTATATTATTTCAAATTTTATCCATATTCCATCATAATAATATTTTACAATTACAATATAAACAAAAGTATTTTGAATTAGATGCACTTAATCTTATAACAATATACATAAATTTTTAATCTTCGCAAAAAAATAATTCAAATACTGTCTTATCAATAATTCTATTATCTTTCAAATCAAATAATTGATGTTAACATAATTTTTTAACATTTGCTAAATCTTCATATTTTTCACGTCCAACATAAAGACAAATACTAAAATTATTAAAAAAAATCAATTAATTAAAATAAAAAAATAAAAAAATTTAATAATTAAAATAATTACCAATATTGATGATCAGATTTCAAAACATCTTTTTCTTCATTTAATAAGCAAAATGTTATCATTATATGATTTTGTTTGTGATCTACATTTCAGCCATTAATACAAATTTTAAGATTAATTATATTACCTTGATTAAGAATTTGTGAAGAAGTATTTTTTTAAATTAAAATTAATTTCAAGAAGAGTTTTGATTGATCTATATACACTATTTCCAATTTCAGTTTCAATAACTAATATTCCTTCTTCAGATTATTCATTCATATCAAAATCATCATCATTTAAGGGTTTATCAATATTAAATATTTTTATTTTAATTTTGTTATTAATAATATTTGTAATTTTAATTCTATGTTTATCAACACGATATTTATGGATAAGATGAGGTTCAACAACAGCCAAATAATAATAACTATTTCGTGATAATAAAGATTTATCATATGCTTACACAAAAGCATCTAATTTCTTAAGTTCAAAGTCTTCATCAGAATGCTAACAAGTTAGATTAATGGCTTCTCTATTAAAATCTAACTTAATATTATATACAAAGACTACTGGTTATCCTGTTTCTGTAGTTATATTATATTTTGTAATTAATGATGACAATTTTTATTCAGAATCTTTTCCAAAAGCTGCAAATCATTTATTTTGTCTTGATTTAGATTATATTATAAAAAGAGGCTATTTTCTAGAAGCTATAGGTATAGTAGAAACATCTAATCAATACTAATATAATTTTCTTATATCTAATCTAAAAACTCAAAGACCTGACAACCATGATCCATTTAGATTCATTCTCTAAATAATATATTTAAAATTATTATAATATTATTTATATCAAGCAAAAAATATGTTTATTTATTATAAAATATAATAATTAATTTATTAAATTTACAAATACCCGTAAAAATTCAGTAACTGCTCTAGTTGCAGATTTTCACTATAAATATTATGTTCTACATTATTTTCGTTCCAAAAAATAATATACCTTACTTTTCAATTTAAAATATATTTAATTTTACAACAAATTTTCTTATTTCTTAACTCAGTCTCAATTATATAATCATTTGGTATCTTATACTGTTTCCTGTCTTTAGAATTTTTTATGTCATTACAGTATTTGTAGGATAATATCCCAAAGATATTACATTATGAATGTATTTCCACCTGATTTATATGTTGCTATAATATGAGAAGAATTGGGATAATCTTGATTAAAAGTCCTTGATGAATAGTTATCTATAAATTTTTAAAGATTAGTTATTTATATCTCTATAATCTCTATAAAAGCATTAATAAAAATATAATTATACCTTCGTTTGATTTATTTGACATAATTGACATTTAATAAAGAAACAAAAAAGATTTTTTTTTTAGAAAAATAATTGAATATGTTAAAAAAAAGTTTCTTAATAACTACAACATATTTTTAATTAAAGTTGTCGATTCCTTCAAACTGATTTTAAACTGATTTTGAACTATTTTAAAGACAATAATATGAATAGTTATGCAATGTGAAAAAATTTTTGACTGGTTATAAAATTAACCTTATCACGTGAATTATTTTATTATATTTTCAGATTTTTCAATTATAATAAAAAATTTTGTGTAAGTATAATAATAAGTTTTAATAATAATGTGACAAAATTGAATAGAGTCAGATCAGCTCATATAACAAAAAGGAGCTTCATTAGTTTAAAAGATTCAAAAACTCCACGCTATTGTACTATGCATAAATCAGTCAATTCGTGTTTTATATT